ACAAACATTGGGTGTCACTTGGTTTTTCAATGTAACCTTGCCATCTCCTTCGAAACTAGCACACAGTGGCCTCGTTGACAATCCGGTCACATAGGAAACCATTTTAACATCACCGAAATCGATCTTAATCGGCTTTTCCCTCGCGAGAATCCCGAGCTGAAAAGGGCTACCGAAACATCATTACCCGCATTTAAGCTAAAAGCCCCAACACAGGTGAAATAAGCTGGTAACCTGATAGATCGTAGTTTGCACAGTATATAGATGACCAATTGAGACCCAAGTTTTGTCTCACCACTATGACCCTCTCAGCACAAGGATGAGCAATCACACCAATTCGAAAACGAAATTCCTACACTTTCGCACCGTATCGTCGGAGACCCCCACATCGAAACCTCACCGTAGAGCCAATTTGATCTCTTCGGCTTTGATCAAAAGAAACGATTGCCACGAAAGTAGTATTAGTGTGAGAAAGATGAGATCAGAGCCCATTAGAAGGGCTAAAGGTTTAGGTTGCTAGCCAGAAAATGGTGTATTTAGAAAGCTATATTTGCAGAGAGTGAAGCTGATAGATGATAGAGGCTTTGAATTGAAGTGAAAGGAAATCCTTTTTTTCCTTTCATTATAGGGTTTTTAAATGACGTGGGAACATAAGGCATTTTCATCTGCATGTTCTCTCCAATGGCTTCAACTGCACAATGTGGAGATTTGGGGTTTTATCATCTACATAGTAAAACTTGACTGAATATTATATGATTTTTCAAGTGGGATTTTGGAGTTTAAAGCAAGCAAACTTTGAGTTTGCCTAAAAGCTTGTGGCATGGAAAGAAACTTTGACAAGCTAGGCAAAGGGATGATTAAGGGTAGGGAGAAATGATTTGTTACCATTTGGGGGGCTCAGTACTCAATTTGTGGTCTTTAACATGTTCCCCAACTTTAATCATATTTGTGGGCCTCATGTTAGCTTGGACCATATGGGTGCCGCATTCTAAGCTATGATAGTCTCCTTGGTCGAATACGAAGTAAGCTAGAAAGAAAGTGATTGTCCATAAAATGCTGCAAATGCCTGATACGCAGCTCCCCAGTTATGGCTCATGTTAATCCACCCCGTTTTCAACGTTGTCGCCACCTCATACGTTCTCACCAATAACCCATACCCATTTCCTTGGAATGAAAATCTGACCCCTCCCGGCCTCTCACAGTGTACCCTACAAGGATTCAAATGTGTTTATACCGATCCGTATCAAAGGTGCCATTTAGTAGGTTTGGAATAGATGATGTATATATACCTTCGGTAAAAGATGGCGATAATGCAAGCTTTCGATTGAGCGATTTTTATGAAAGCGGGTTTGTACATGTCGAAATGGACTTGAGGAGGGTTGCATCAGCAGCCATTGTTGGAGTCTTAGGCCCAATTCAGGGGACAAAAGTCAGTTGCGGACCTGCGGTCATGGCAGTACAAACTTTATTCAGTGACAAGTCCCACAAGCACGGCCTTCTTTGAACAATGTTTTGCTTAGAGCAACAGTGTTTATACCATAACCATTGATAAACAGATCTCCATAACCACAAGCTCCTCCTGTAAGATATGAGGACTGCAGATGTTGGGATTCGAATTTCGGACTTACAAGATATGAGCATAAAAATAGAACCGTTATGCACAATGTAGAAAGATAGGAAAAATACCCATAGTTTCAGAGGTTGTTTTGTCACCGTAAAAGGTGGCACGGGAGTGGCCCAAGGGCTTGAACGGAAAACCAGAACAGCCATGGCTGGCTTCAAGATGATGGCAAAGTTATAAGAGTCATCACTCATCAAGAACTCAGAGCTCCATGAAATAAAAGAAGCCATGGTTAGACAAATTAAAACAATACATATATATCAACGTGCTTGCAGCTTTTATTATCTTAGTTGAATTAAGGTGAGTCGTACTAATGAAAATGAGTTTGTTCGAACCTAATCGAACGGATTCGAGTAGCTCCATTTTTTTCTCGGATTAAGCTAAAACCGGTCCAACTTTAACTGCCAAGTTTCAAATCGAGCTCAAGGTCGAACTTCAACTTTAAACTCAAACGTAAACATATGAAAACCGACCATAAATCTCCATGATAGTGAACTAGAATTAGTACCGGATTTGACTAGGTATGATTATACTGCCTCAAGCAGTTCTACACATTTCTAAAAAAGACTAAATTTAGACTAACTTGATTTTTACGAACAAACAAAAGCTGGTACCGATCGATTTTGGCTGGTCAGGATTATTGTGGTAATAATCCTTCTTTCTTGGCCATTTCATAGATAGTGATAGCCATGACTGCTTTTGCATCAGGTGTTGTGCGCCAGAGTTTCTCGTACGGAACCACACGAACCTTTATCAGCTCACCATGTTCAAAACGACCCGTTTCTTTTCCTTCAAGCTGTGTGATAATGTTTTTATCAACATGCCTTCTGTACAGAAATAGGCCAAGTTCTTCATCACAGCCTCCCTAACATGGAAAACACGAGATAATTATCTAAAACCTAAGCAGAATCAAGTCATGACACGACAAAATGTTCCCGGAAAAGGACATAGAATTCTCTACAAACGACTGTTGTAACCTTTGAGGGTCTGGAACTGTTATGCAAAGATTCCAAACAAATAGTTCACATCATTCCTATAAAAAAAAATAGTTCACATCATTCCTATAAAAAAAATAGTTCACATCATGGATTCCTGATTGGATAATCAAAGTTACATGCAGTTAATAATTATATTTAAAAGTGGTGATTCTAGGGTTTGTAACATGCACCAATTTTCCGGAAAAGCACCCATCAGTATTGCCAACATACCGGAGAAGGAAAAACTTTGAATCCAGTAGATGGATCAAGGAAGGGGTGAGGTCAACCATATCTTCTAGTTTCAAGTGAATACCAATCTCCTCCTCGACCTGTTAGTTTTAACTCGCTAAGAAACCATTTCTATAACAGAAGGAAAAACAAAAGAAAGGTAAAAAGAAGCCGATCCTATTGAACTTTTAACAAAATATTATGGTAAAAAATAGCAAGTTCTCTCAACTGAATGGCAGATGTAGAACATCGGTATAAGAACAACCCACAAAGGGGGAAAATGGTCTCATAGCAGAGAATAGAATGTTCGAGTGCGCTACTATATAACCCTTGAGTACTTGACCTCAAAAATAGCAAATGATTTTATGAACTTCATGTATGGTAATATGACAAACACAATGACGTCTACAAAAATAAAGAAAATTTTGAATATACATTTATAAACATTTGTATAGTATGTGTTTGTGTGTGTCTGTACAAGTGCACTGCAATGAGAAACCGGGAGAGAGAGAGAGAGAGAAGACCTCATGAACTGCAGTGCCAATGAAATCACCCTTGTCATCATCCAACATTCCAGCAGGCAGTTCAAGAACAACCTTAGAGAGAAATAAAGAACTCATTAACATCGAGTGAAGTAGCAATACTTTAATGGCCACCTTCTAAAGCCAATTTCTACTCTACTCAATTGTATTGTCATACTTGATAGACAAACTACTAAGAATAAATTTTTTAAACTAAAACATTGCCCTACCTGTTTGGTGAGAACAGCATATGTTGTGCCCTCAGACTACAAAAGAATTAGGATGGCTACGGCAGGTCCTCGTGCAAACACTATACCTGGAACCTAAGCATATTTTAGATTATAAGAAAAAGATATTGAACAATTGCATGAATAATTGCAATAAATACACCAAGCTCGAATTGAAAATCAAGCAAGTTTGATAAAGAACCAAATTTTGATGTGAATTCGTTTAGAAAGAAAGCTATTCAAGAAGACAATCAAATACCTTCTTTCCCGTTCCTTTATTGATAATATCAGCTTTGAATTTGAGGAAACCAATTCGCTTTCCAAACATATCAACTCCCCGTAATAAAAAAAAAAATCACTCCAAACTTCTATAATCAAATGCTTAGGAAGTTCAAATTTTTCATAAAACCCATCATACATAGCCTCTTATAATAAATTTAAGCAACAATTCTTCCATGACTTAAAATAAAAACAATCAAAACAAAAAGCACCCAAAGATTTTTTTTTTCTTTTTCAAAAGAGTGGATGATTAATGCAAGTTTTTATAAAAGGCAAGATACCTGAATAATCACTTAAGTCATGTCCCCATTAGCCAAAATCCCATTTTCACTCGCCAGATTCTTCAACCATTGTCGAAACAAAGATGACTCGGTAGCAGACCTGTAGAATTCACGTTCATGATTTGAGCAAACAATGGGTACTTCCCCAATTCCAAAATTTTCGAAGAATTAACACGAGAAGAAAAAAAAAGGCTATTAACCTGAACTCGGAATCGGAGAGGTCAGGGGCAGCAACTATTTGGACGGGTTGATCCAGTTGACTCGGCAAGGATATGGAGTGAGTCAGCGAAGTTGATGACGTGGCCGACATTCTGGAGCAGAAGGGTCTCTAGTTGAGCGACGGTGAAGGAGTTGTGCGAGAAAATGAAACGACGTGTCGTTTTGGGAGGGTGAAAGGATATACCAGCCCAGGTGTGAGATCCATCTAGGCTTGTACCATAATCTATTTTAAACTAGAAGTTTTGGTTAAATATTGTTAATAATTCTTGTATTATAACAAAATAATTGATTTAGTTAACTTGTTTGGCGTACATGATACCTACAACATCATAGATGGATCGTGGAAGGAGCGGGTGGGGCAGTCGCCTCTCCTAAAAAATTTAAATTCTTATATGTTTTAGATTTTTTTTGTATTTTTTATTGAAAATATATTTTCGTCTCTCTTAAAATTTTATAAGTTCGTAATCTCTTAAAATTTTATAAATTAATCTATTTTAACATAAAATCATGCATCTGTCACTATACAACACCTAAGTTGCAATGCTTGAAAATAAAAGTTTATTATGATTGTAGAAGAAACAACAACATTTTCTTAAGTAAAAATTTCATTTTAAATGAAGAACATTTGATTTCGAGGTTTAAACACACTAGTCAAGCAATAATAGGGATTGCTCGCAGAGGTTCATCCATCTAAAGTGTGATCGCCAACTTCTCTTCCATGTTCAATTCATTTGGTGAGATCCCACCTTCAAGTTTCCAATCAAAAGAATTTATAAGAGACCCTAGCATTAAATGCAACATTCGATTTGCCAAAGGCAATCCCGGACGCACTCGTCGTCCAGCTCCGAATGGAATGAGCCCGAAATGTCTACCTTTGACATCGATTTCAGACTCCAAGAATATCTCGGGTATGAAGTTGTTCGGGTTCTCCCAAATACTTGGATCTCTACCAATGGCCCATGCGTTAACCAACACTTGTGAACCCTCTGGAACTCTGAAACCGCAAAGGTCGGCATCAAACCCGGCTCGACGAGGTAGTAACAATGGGACATCCGGAAGGTTTCTTTGGCGATCGCTTGCAAATATGGTAAACGATTTACATCGGATTCCTCGAGTGAATTTCCTTTGTCGATTGCTTGCGCTAGTTCTGTCTTGGCTTTAAGTATAACTAGAGGGTTTCGAAATAGTTCCACCATTGCCCATTCTAATGTGCACGACGTTGAATCAGTCCCGGCAACGAATAAGACCTATCAATTTGACACAGTTAAACTAAAGATCTAACATTTGTAATAATCGAGTGTCACGTAAGATAAAAGACGTAATGTCAAAATTAGTCCACAATGTTTACTCGAATGGTCACTTTGGTCTCTATTCTCTCTCCTTTTTCTTTTTTCTTTTTTTTTTATAAATATTTTAGTCCCTAACGTTTTAATTTTTTGTCAAAATAACTCATGTTAAATGAAAATCATTAGTTGACAAACAATTAATGCATGATGTTGATGTGACATTCTCACATGTGTTAAATTGTTGATATGTTACATGTCATCTCAATCAAAGTGATAACGTAATATGTATCATGTCACGCAATGCGTTGACATGACATGTGATATATATATAAATGTCACATTAATAACATGTATTATTCATTTATTAATTAATAATTTTCATTCAATATATATTATTTTAAGTGAAAATTAAAATTTTAGAGACTAAAATGTTCTTTAAAAAAGAATAAGGACCATAATGATCATTCGAATAAATGTTTGTGGGGTTAATTTTAGCTTTAGGTTAACGATAAAAATCCTAAAACTCAACAATGCAAGAAAAATCTATAACTTACCAAAAGCAAATGTGTTACATGAGTTTTGTTAAGCTCCTCGATGCCGCCTTCAATAACATCAAGAAGAGTATCCAAGGCATCATTTGATGCAATATAATCCGAAGATTTTCTTGATTGCGACCTTTCATTAAACAGATTATCGAACAGATTAAGCAAATTCCCGTAATGAACAGTCATCCGGCGCCTACACCTTGCGGGTCAATCTTTCTAAGCAAAGGGAAATAATCAACCGCATTAGGCTTCCCTGCCTCATCCATCATCTCATTAACCATTCTCTTGAATTCTCGAGAAACAGATGAATTCGAGTCTACCAAATCCACAGAGAAAACAGTGTTGGACAACAAATTAATCGTAGTGTCGAAAGCAGATTGGCCTATGTTAATGGCTTCACCTTTAACACAACTTTTGCTCACATTGGCAATCAGTTGTCGAATCTTTTCCCGACGAAGGTGTTCGTTGGCATCGAGTTTGATGTTATTGAAAACATGGGTGTTACATACTAAAGACACTAAATTTTGTCCTGCATTATTTTACATATTTGCTTTATTTTATATATACATATTTTTACACTTCATGTTTACATATTACAGGCCAAGAACTATTACAAAGCATATGGCCCAAATACAATTAAAAAACAGGCCCAACACACGCGCCCAAATCAACAGAACACCTGAACTGGAAACCCTAGCTTTCGTGTCTTATCCAACGCCGCAAGGAGACTCCCATCCGCTCGGTCGTCATGTCTCACACTCCACGCAACCGATTATATTGGTTCAACAAATGAATCATGCGTCAATGGGACTTCTCACCTCCAACAACCCCGTATTCTCTGGCACAAGATAACCACCAACAAGCAAGGAGTTAGAGTTCTACTAGGACTCAAATTAGTCTAAAAATAGTGTTGTTTTTTCTTATAAATAAATGTAAAATCAACTTGTAATGGTGCGATTCAGAAATGCGAAATAAAAGCAAAAAATTTCGAGCAAAACTATAAGAATATCAAGGCAAAATCGAAACTTTTTTGAGTTTTTGTGAAGAACAAAAGGTAAAGTTCATACCTTTTTTCGTTTTGGTGGCTTGCATGTCGTTCCTTCCGTGTTGTTTTTGATTCAAACCACAAAAAAAAGTGTTTTTCGGCCGAGGAACAAAGTGAGGCCATTCTTTTTTTTTCGAGATTTTTCTTTCTAGATATACGCTTTTCCGGGATGATTTTTGAAAAATGGTTTTGATTTTGGAAAAGGAAATTTGAAAAGCATTTAAAAAAGCAAAAAAAAAAAGGTTTCGCTGTCGATAAACGGCGCCGGTCGCCAAGGCGGCGCGGGGTGACCGGAATCTGGGCACCAAGAACACGACAACTTGTGCTCTTCATTTGGAAGAACAAGTTGAGAGTATTTTCTGGAATGACGGGGGCTCTCTCGTGTGAAGAAGAGAGAAATGAAGATTTTTTTAAAAAAAATTGACATTTATATGGGACCCATGGACCCAATTTGGCCCGCGTGTTAACCCGTTTCTCACCCTAGACCCGCGTGTTTCTGAAGCAATTAGGGTCAACCACGTTTGGCCCCCTTCTATTTTTAAAAGGTTCCATTCTAACATAAAATTCGATTTAATTCGGGCTCTAGTCTTGATTTTACTTTAATTTGGGCACCCAATTTATTTTTCTTACAATCTAATCCCTTCACAGTTGAGTTTCTTTTTTTTTCTTCTGATTTTGGCCTATTTAAATATTTTTTTTATTTCTTCATTAGTATTTATATATATATATATTTAATTATTTCTGTGTTATTATTATTTTCCCTCTTTCTTTATATATATATATATATATATATATATATATTTATTTACTATAATAATTATTTTTTAGTACTTTATCCTATTATAGTTATATATATCTCTGTTATATCATTATTTTGTAAATATGCATATATATGTATTATTTTCTTACTTATCCATATGTTCATATTATTTATACTATTATTTTCCTATGTTTTATTTAATACTCTTTTCATTTTGTTTCTTTTATTTACTTATTTTCTTTATCCTCTTATTCTTGTTTCTCTATTTTCATTTTGTTTATGGTGTTACTTGTTATCTTTATTCCATTCTTGTCTTTGTCTTTCTTTACTCGTTTTATTTCATATCCTTCATTTCACTTATCTTTATTTTTTGTCGTGTCTTATCATATTTTCATCTAACGCGTTCCTTGATTTTTTTAAAGGATGTTTTCAAATTGATCTAGGGTAAGTATTCGGATCGATATCTTACCTTTCAATTTAAACTTATAATTTTCTTAATTAAAGACAACTGGAAATTGCGTAGTACCGAAAGAGCAGTTCAAGGGTGCTAACCCTTCCTTGACTGTAACCGACTCCCGAATCCGACACATCTTTGGTAAGACGTAGATCAGGTATCTGGTCAACCCATTTTTTATAAAATAAATGATCGGTGGCGACTCCTAATCCATTTTCCTAAGTCGAAACCCAATTCCGGGGCTCACCCGAAAGACAGTTCCGAGAGCTTGGCGACTCTGCTGGGGACAGATAAGTGAGTCATGCTAAGGTAATTTCCAGTTGTCTTTTTAATGAAAATGGTAAGTTTAAATTAAGGTAATTCTTCGATCGTTATTACTTACTAATGATTATATTTTTTCGAATAAATAATTGTATTGACGGTTTTCTCAATGATTTCAGCTTGTCAGAACTCATTTTTTCCTCTAAGGCTCTAAACCCGAGCTCTGAACCAGTTTTAAGTGGTGGTAAAAGCGACACCTTCGTGTAAATTTATTCACCGTGCGGGCCTAGTAAGTAGCCTTCGGGATTCATATACCTTATGTCTTCGTGTGAATTTATTCACCGTGTGGGCATAAGGGAATGTGTCCTCTCGAGTTTAACTTAGTCCACACAAGCCTGTGATGGGTTTAGGACAAAGGGTCTGGCAAGCCCAAGGGGGCACCGACAAAGAGAACTCGGGTACCGTTTTTTAGAACCTAAACCGAGAGACTATGGAGAATTGAGCCTACCCCAAAACCACATTCCAAAACCTAGGATGTTTTACCCTAACCTTGCTATTTGTTTGTCTTTCTACTTTTCGTTTTTTCTTTCATCATTTATTTATTTTATTTTATCATTTTTATTTTTATTTTTGCTAACTTTTTTCCTTTGTGTTTGTTTTAAAGCACTTGCATCATTTAAAAGAGGTGTTGATCCACCAAAAACATGTTTGTTAAGCATGAATAACATGCATTAATGGACAAAGGGGTTGTAATACAAGAGATGAAAATACAGATGACAGTCTACAAGGTGATTATGTGTCATATTTAATTAAGAAGATGCGGCGCCCACAATTGAAGGGTATATCACTCTGCTACATTATAAAGGACTCAGAATGAATCGGGTCTACATCAAGCACAATGAAAGTCTATCTTGGAAGAACTGACTGGCCGAGATTGTAGGGGCAAGATGAAGGTCACTGATCTTGGGAGTCCCTTCAAAGACAACAATGGTAAAACGATAGCTGAAATTGGAGACCATTGCTTACGAATTCAAGAAACATACAAATGAACTTACATAGTTCCTATCAATTAAGGGCTCCAATGACGCATTCATTGGGAACATACTCAACAAAAGATAAATGCCCGAGATGTAGTCATTCGAGACTTCTTGGGCCAATACAAAAAGCAACTCAACATTTGCACGGTTCATCCAGAGAAGCCGGAGCGGCACGACAGGTTATTCAATCGGTGACAGACGAACGCAGAAGACTAGTCAGCATGTCAGAAGCTGTCATGATATTTTTGGTCTCTTAAAAGATAAAACACTTTTGTCTCCAATAAGGATTATTCATAATAACAGGCACATTTTTTGAATCAATGGACATATTTTGTATTTTGTTATTTTCTTTGCATTTGCATTAACTAATGAAAGAATACTTCAAAATAAAGGAATAAATACTGGATACGCCACCTCAAGGGTTGGACACACCCCATCCTCATAACACCCGCTTGAAAAAGAAGAAAATGGAAGCCATAATTGCTCAGATCGAGGAGAACATGTTGAAGCTCCAGAGAGAGCTAGAAGATAAGATAAACCAAAGTAGTCTGAGTACTCTGAATACAATCATGAAGAACCAAGAGTCCTTGGTTGATCAGATCGTTTCCAAGTTAGTTGGCCTACAACAGATCAATGCGTCTGGGGCAGGTTCACAAGAAGGGGTAACTATACCACCTACCCCACAAGTGGTTGTCTCACCTGAAATTATACCGGAACTTCGAAGGGACTCATCTACTGCAAAAGCGAAGCCCTCATCCTCTGTATTTAACCTTTAGAATAACTCGGGTTATTACCATATACCGGATTCGGACAAATAGGACAAATCAAAGAAGATGGAGGAGAAAATCAAGCAATTGGAGGACCAAATGAAGGTAGTTAAAGGAGACCATGACTACCCTGGAGTCGATGCCGTGGAGCTCAGTCTAGTCTTAGACTTGGTTCTTCCTCCGAAATTCAAGTCCCCAAAATTCGAGAAGTTTAAAGGGAACAACGATTCATCCGCACACATCACCATGTTCTACCAAAATATGACGGGATATGGAGGAAACGACCAACTCTTGAATCACTGCTTCCAGGAGAGTCTGTAGGGCTCAGCCATCCGGTGGTACAATCAGCTCAGCCGAACCCATATCAAGACTTGGAAGGACTTAGCCAAGTCATTTTTGGAACAATATAAGCATATTAACGATATGAGACCAAACCCTTAGATGAAAAGGAAACTAAAAAGTTGTTTTTACAAACCCTGAAAGCACCTTACTTCAGAAACTTGGTGGCAATTACATCGGGAACTTTCTCAGATCTAGTTATAGTTGGTGAGATGATCGAGATAGCTATAAAACAAGGAAAATTGAGGGAAGTGAATCCAGTGATAAGCTTTCCATTAAGAACAAAGAGCGAGATATAAACAATGTCAACACCTACAACGCCAACAAAGGTGTTACGATCTCAAGTTTGAAAATCACTGTTGTTGTACCATCCGGTACTTCTAAACGAACTCAGAGAGAACCAAGGAAAGAAAAGATTCGCATCAATCCAATCCCAATGACATATGAGGAGTTACTCCCAACGCTAATTGAGAAGAATCTTGTGACTCCGGTTCAGTCTAAACCTAGAGAGACCCCATATCCT